CCCGTCCCTTTGTCTTCAGGACCTAATCTGAAGATCTCGGGCTCCGGGCCGCTGGAGACGGATTTTGTTCAGCCGAGCAACTCGGTGCCAAACTGAGCAAAAGTCAGGAGCCATATTTGAAAGTCACTTGTGAATCACGGGCAGTGACGAGGGGGAGACTTGATTTGACAGCTGCAGTTTGATTTCAGTCGTTTTAGAAACTGATGCAGAGACACAAGAAGACGTTTCTCAGGATCTGTGTGAAAACACAGTTAAAGCAGTTTCAAGAGTTCAAATGATTTAAAATAAAAACAGGTCGCCGGTCCGTCACAGGTCTGATGCCGTACAGACAAACTGCCTCCTGCTCACAGCTACAGGACATTTCTCGTCTCCAGTAAAACCTCAGGACTCTGAAACCAACCTCTGTACGAACCACACTGCGTGCCACCCGTGTGAACCGCTGCACCACCGCGCCGCCCCCAGAACTTTTTCCTTTTTCCTATTTTGTTCTCGGCTCGTTTTATATCGCTCAATATCAGCATCTTTAAATATGTATGTGCCAGCGAACCTCGTGGGGAGCGTGGGTAATTAAAGCGGAGAGACATCAGAGGCAGAACCAGAGGCCTGAGAGCTTTGGCTACAACAAGTGGGCGTCTGTCTCCACCCTGGAAACTCTTCTCTCACTTTAGAGCCACTGAGGGGAACTCGAAAAGCTCAGTGATATCAAGAGTCATGGAGCAGGAGACTGAAATGTTACAACTGTTCTTATGTAGAATATATACATATACATATAAATATACTAGAGTGCAGAAATAAAACCAGATATTTTACAACGTTCACAGAAGTTAAAGAGTCGAAGGAGGAGGGAGCGTCTCAGCAGGCTTCATGTCAGACAGCAGGAGAGCGAGGGATCGTCTCACCTCTAAACAAACGGGTTCAGATCCTCTGGATGCTGAGTTTGTGATGTCACAAATAACTGATGATCAAAACCATGAAAATAAAGAGGATTCATCATTTCACTGATGTTTTAGATTCCAGGTGTAAACGACCCGCTCTGTGGATTAATGGTCCGTCCCTGTGTCTCCAGGTTGGCAGGGTGTGGACTGCACCATCCCGTGCTCCAGTGGTTCTTGGGGACTGAGCTGCAATCAGACGTGTCAGTGTGCCAACGGGGCGGCCTGCGACCCCGCCAACGGCACCTGCACCTGCTCCTCGGGCTGGAGGGACGAGTACTGCGACGCACCGTGTCCGGTGAGTGCTGCTGGGAGTCCTCGTCCGTCCTCATTCTGTGTTTATTCACACATTCAGACGTCCGCTCACCTTCTCCGTGTGTTTCCAGAGAGTTCAGGTCCAAGCTGCTTAATGTTGAAACGGATGAAAACTCTGTGTGTGTGTTTTAATGTTCAGAGAATCAGATTCATGTCTAATCGGAGCAGATGTGTATCAAAGTGTGTGTTTATGTGGTTGTGTTTGTGTGGTTGTGTGTCGTCAGGAGGGCTCGTACGGGCTGGACTGCAGAGAGAGATGCGACTGTGTCAACTCTGACGGGTGTGATCCAGTGAGCGGCTTCTGTCGCTGTCTCACAGGATGGACCGGTGAGTCTCTGCTGAGAACGAAACACGAAGCTCAGAGGTGAAGGTTCATGATCGAATAAACTTCATCAGCTCGTAGGTTGAGTCCACATGGACCCACCTGACCTGCAGGTCGGACGTCTGTGGACCAGCTTCATCCAACACCAGAGCGGATTTCATGTTAAAGACCATCGGTCGCTTCTTTAAAGGTTCATCGTGTGTCTCGTCTCTGTCTCCATCTTTAGTCAAGTCGTCTTTTCACCACGAACGATACGAAGAAACACTCAGATCTGCTGGACACCAGATTATTAGAGACTTATATCAACCATTGATCGAAGTGTTTGATCTTCACTCTCAGATATAAATGTGATTTAAATGTTTTAATCATCGTTTGTTTCTGTTCTCTAACAGTCAGGAAGTGAGGCGTGTGTGTTAGTGTGTGTGTGTTAGTGTGTGTGTGTTCAGCCTCTGACTGAACTCATCACAAACTTCTTTCTGTTCTCCTCTCGTCTCTCGTCTCTCGTCTCCTCTCGTCTCTTGTCTCCTCTCGTCTCCTCTCGTCTCTTGTCTCCTCTCGTCTCTCGTCTCTGGACGTTTCTGAACCTCTGGACTGTGTGAGATTGTATTTCAGCAGAGATGAAACATTTTCAACTTGTGCAGACGTGTTCACATTGATTCTCACCAATTCTCACCACTGTG